ACCCTCGCGCGTGGCCGCTGATTGGCTGCGACTGTGGTCCCTGTCGGCTTCCTTACTCGGGGTTGAGCGGGCTCGCACGCGGAAAGTTGCATCAGCCGGACCCAGGATGTACGCAGGCGCAATCAATTGGCTCTGGTCTCCTAGGAGACCGCACGCCCCACCCTCTGGGTTAGAGGGAAGGGCTCAGGGAGGTGAAGGCCTTTCTACAGGACCTGGGAATTCTCCTGAGCCCCTTTTTATGGATTCGATACGTGAGGCAGAGTATCACTTATCGGTCATCTCCTATTGTTAAGTAAATGTGAGTTAAATATGAGGTGGGGCCGGGCGTTGGTGGCGCACGCCTTTAATCCCAGCACTCGGAGGCAGAGAGGCAGGTGGATCTCTTGAGTTCGAGGCCAACCTGGTCTACAGAGAGAGTTCCAGGACAAGCTCCAAAGCCACACAGAGAAACCCTGTCTCGAAAAACAACAAATAATAATAAAAATAAATAAGTAAATATGAATGAGGCTGTTAGTGCCGTATAACCAACAAGCCTGAGGTTAAGACACAGATCATCCGAAGTGAGTAATGGTAGTAAAAAACTCAAGAGAAAACTGGACTCAGTCATGCGTTCCTGCCCCCCTGCTTTAGGGTTTCAAAGTTTCTAGCGTTGCCTGTGTTCTAATTTAGACGTCACAAAGGAAGCCGTGGTGTACTGGGCAAGCTGGTCACAGAGTGGGAAGAGTCCCCACACAACAGCGAATTCAATTCTTCATTTTAGCTCCTGGGTAATGAAGGTCATGGAGTATAATACCCAATGAAGGACACCCCTGTGACTTTTGTCCTCTGGAAAAAAATAAAAAGATTGGCTGATAATTTTAATTGCTGTAATGAGGAAAGGTTTTTTTTGTTGTTTAAAACAGATTTTTATTCTGTAGCCCAGGCTGGCCCCAAGCTAACCACAATCTTCCTGCCTCAGCCTCCCAAGTGCTGGCTAGTTCTCTTTACAGGTCGGTCTTAGTTCTCTCTCTCTCTTTTTTATTTGTTTCGGCAGGGGCTGTCTACAGGGCACTAGCTGTCCTGGAACTGACTGTGTAAACCAGGCTGACCTTGAAAACAGAGACCCGCCTGCCTCTACCTATCCTTTAATCTCTGCAGAGGTTAAAGGCATGTGACACCACACCTGGTATTTAGTTTGCTTCCTTATTTCTTCTAATTTTAGTCAATAGTGCAATGACAAGGTCAAGTGGCTATCACAGAGGGAAAAGAGTAGTTAAAACTAAGATGGAAGATCGTTGGTTTGCAAAGGGGGGCCAGCAGGTCCTCATGCTTTATGGGGGCTATTCAATGTTCAAAGAAAGTTCTTTACTGAAACCAAGAGTTTTTGTTGTTTACTCCCCAGCAATATCTTATTACTTATGTCAGGAAATATCTGGTTTCTTAATCCTAAAAAGCTTTAGGAAAATGTATTACTACTATGAGTCAGTTTTCATAGTAAAAAAGAGATCCAGGCATGCAAATTAATTACTGGAAGCCTCAGTTACTTTTGAGGGGAAGCTAAAACTGTCATTTCTCTTTTAACCAGTGGTTGGGGAGCTATGTTCCTAATACAGTGCCTAGCCAGATGGTAGGAACACAGACATTAGCTAAAATTCTGCAGTTGTTCTCCTTTACAATCCTCAATTGTTTCCTACTGCCTACAGAATAAAGGTTCTATTCAGCCTGACCTCTCCGAATGCTACTCAGCCTCAGATTCTCTTTAGTGTTCTCTTCCAGAGCGTTGGACTTATCCTTCCTCCTGGCCTTTGATGACCAGGAAAGCCCCACCTTGTCTTGTCCCATACCTCCTCATACTCCCAGGTTCAACTTAGAAGTCAGCGTCTGAGAACCCCACATGGTGGCACATCTCAGCCCCTCAAGAGGCAGAGGGTATAGGGTATATGTGAGTTCAAGGATAGCCTGGTTTACAAAGTAAGTTCTAGGATAGCCAGAGCTACACAGAGAAACCCTGTCTGGGAAAATCAAAAATGGATGGATGGATGGATGGATGGGGTCAATGTCTGCTTGAGGCCCTCACTAATCTCCTCACTCAGAATCCGTTGGTCCTTTGCAACTCTGATATCACACACTTCTTTTTTTTTTTTTTTTCGAGACAGGGTTTCTCTGTGTAGCTTTGGAGCCTATCCTGGCACTCACTCTAGAGACCAGGCTGGCCTCAAACTCACAAGAGATCTGCCTGCCTCTGCCTCCCAAGTGCTGGAATTAAAGGCGTGCACCACCAACGCCAATTGATATCACACTTCTTAACAGAGTTTAACAGATTGCACCATCCTTTCCTGTAAATGATCCTCTGTTCCAGGCTGTAAGGAACTATACCAACTTCTTCAACTTCCCAATGACAAGAGGAACTGTTTTATGTAGAAACTTTACACACAGGCAGTGGTGACACCTGCCTATAATCTCAGCACTCCAGAGGTAGAGGTGGTAGAGGCCCATAGATCTTTGACTTTGAGGCTAGTGTGGTCTACAGAGTGAGTTCCAGGACAGCTAGAACTATACAGAGAAACCCTGTCTCAAAAAACAAACAAAAAGTTCCCTTGAAGTTGCTTATTAAATGAGCCATTAGAGCCGCTTAGAGATTCCTTTTTTTTTTTTTTCCCAGACAGGGTTTCTTTGTGTAGCCCTGGCTGTCCTAGAACTTGCTTTGTAGACCAGGCTAGCCTCAAGCTCACAGAGATCCCCCTGCCTCTGTCTCCCGAGTGCTGAGATTAAAGGTGTGTGCCACCACCAACCAGTTAGAATTTCTTACATTTTTATGATATGTTTCTATCATGTTCTCTTCTGTTGGTCCTGAGCTCCTTCAGGTAGTTATTTCTGAGGTCAGGTTTCTTCTTCTTTTATTGTTTTGTTTTGTTTTTTGTCTCTCTTCTCCTTTTTTCTTTTCTTTTTCTTTTTTTTCCCCCCTTAGTCAGGGCCCTCACTATGTAGTCCCTGCTATCCTGCAACTTGACTAGATTTGCCTCAAACTCACAGAGATCCACCTGCCTCTGCCTGCCCGGTGCTGGGATTTAAGAGGTCCACCACCATGCCTTGCTGGCCCTTCCTCATATTCCTCCTCTTCTGTCTCTCTGTGTGTTCACATGTGTGCTTCCAGCCATGCCAATGCATGCCTGTGTGGAAGCCAAAGGCCACTGCTGGGTATCTTCCTCTATCACTGTCCACCATATTTTTTGAGACAAGGTCTGTCACTAAACTTGGAGCTCACTGTTTCAGCTAGACTAGCTGGCCAATGAGCCTGCAGGATTCTCATGTCTTTGCCCTCCAGCAATGAGATGATGAGATTACAGTCACTAATTACCTGAGGGTTTTTTGTTGTTGTTGTTGTTGAATACTGGACTGAGGATCTAAACCATCTCCTCAACCTAGGTCAGAACATCTTAAAAAAAAAAAATCTTCTCCACATTCTCTTGACAAAGACATTTTGGTGTGGTTTTTTGTTTTGTTTTTCTAGACAAGGTTTCTCTGTACAGCCCTAGCTGTCCTGGAACTTGCTCTGTAGACCAGGATGTCTTGGAACTCAGAGATCTGCCTACCTCTTCCTCTTGAGTGCTAGGATCAAAGACATGCACCACCACTGCCCAGTTATATATGGTTTTTAAAATATACATTTAGTGTACTTATTTCAAGATATTTTTGTGTGAATTCAAACCATAGTACACATGTGAAGGGCAGAGGACAATTTTTGAGACATGGTTCTCTCCTTCTACCAAGTGGGTCCAGGGGATTGAACTCAGGACATCAGTCTTGGCAGAATGTTCTAAGCCATCTCTCTGCCCCCCCCCCACCTCTTTTTGAGTATAAAACTGGGTATGGTGGCACAGACTTGTAACTCCAGCAGTCCAGGAGCAGAGATAGAAAGATAGGAGTTCAAGGTCATCCTCCAGCACATAGCAAGTTATATAACACGGTCTCTCAAAATAATTAATTTTAAAAAGAAAAAAAAATAAGACAAAATGGCTGCTAGAGTCTGGAGATGGCTCAGTGCTGGAGAGCACTGGCTCTTATAGAGGACCTAGTGGCTTCCAGCATCTACAAGGTGGTTCACAATCATCCCTAACTTCAGTTCCAGGGGATCCAGGCACACAGGTAGTGGCATATACACACATGCAGGCAAAACACTCAGATACATAAAACCTAAAGAAACAAATTTAATAAAATAGCAGTTAGAACATGGGACTGCAACTCAAGGCCAGAGCCCGCAGCATGCATCAGGAAATTCCTTTGCAGCTCTCTCTGTCTGTGCTGTAACAGCAGGCCCTGATTTGCCCCATCCACTGTGCTCTTTTAAGTACCCTATTGGGGGTCTCTGCAAATGCCACAGCCACCAGAGTAACAATCCATGTGAGGCAAGAAGGAAATCCAGTTCAACAAAACTCAGTAGCCAGTGTTGGTTCAAACTTCTGACCCAGGCAGTATATTGTTGGCATGGTTTTGTTTTGTGTTTTGTGTTTTGTTTTTTGTTTT